TGATTTGAATCAAGCAGCCTCCTCAATCCTCTATGTGGATAAAAAGTAGGCAGAGAATGTTGCAAATGCTTCAAAGGGTGGACTCCATTAGCCCACCCATAAAATGCCTCTTCTTTCATATGGGATTTTTGCACGGTCAGAAAAGTTTGGAGGCCCCATATTACTGCTTTGAAAAAAATATTTAAGTAAAATGACCATCTATATAGATACCACATATGCACAAATGATCCTATATCTAAGTTAAATGCATTAATATGGGCAAAGGTTTTCTAGATCAATTTAATTTTTAAATATTTTATTTATATTCCAGGAGTATTTTTTACAGCATTGTAAAAAATGCTGGATTTTGAATCAGAGGACCATGTTTCAATTTCCAGGTCTTCTACTTTACCACTTGTGTGACCTTGGACAAGTCACTAGAGACTTTTTCTTCATTTGTAAAAGAGGGGCTGGACTAGATATTAGCTAGCATTTACACAGTGCTTTAAAGTTTACAAAGCACTTTACAAATATTATCTCATTTTAACCTCATGACAACCTACATAATCTCCATTTTATAGATATGGAAATTGAGGCAGACAGAGGTTAAGTGACTTGCCAGTCACACAACTGGTGTCCGAGTATTCCTGATTTTAGGTTCAGTGTTCCATCTACAGCACAACCTAGCTGCCAGATGACCTCTAAGTCTAGTTCCAGCAAAAAACCTGAGATCTATGAACATTTCCCAACATCATCACATATGCACGCACAGAGCATTTTTAACAGCAAAGTGTCAATGCAGTCATTTGGAAAAGGAAAACTGCTACTTTCTGGATATGGTATACTAGTAGCATATAAGCTCCTCCAAATTAATATGGGAAAGAAAAAAACATGAGGAACCCAGCTCCTGATTCGGGGGAAAACATAACAGACATTGGGTCTTATTCTTTCACTTTCAGCTTGTTAGCAGAAAGGAAGCTGAGGAATTTTAAAACACAAATTTATTGCCCTTTGTTAATCGTATGTCATTTGATCAATGTCATTTTGTATAGCAGAATAAATGAAGGAAAAGAAAAATAAAGATTGTTGAGACAGTGCTGAAGAGTGGGAGTTGTCTAGGGAGAAGAAACGATGTGGCAATTATTATCCAGGGCTTTAATTTAAATATTATAGAATAAGGTACAACCAGTATTGTAAGAATAGGAAGAAAGCAACAATCTAGCAGGATTCCATGATAAACCCTGTCTTATGTTCTAAGTGAACGCCATTTTTTTCTTAGGTTAAGAGGACATAATTTTTTTTTTCTATTACAGCATATTGGATTATTTCCTGAAAGACCTGGAACTTTTTCATAAGATTTGTGACTTATGGTTTTGAGGCCCTCTAATTCTTTCTCAAATAGTAGACACTAGAGGCATAACTGCCCTATGGATAGCTACACTTGGTGTCTGGGGGTGGTGGTGGTGGTGGATTGCTGCCCTGAAAGTACTACATTTGGGGTTTAGTGTACTCTGACCTTTAAACCTCTTTGACACATGGACAGTTCCTAGCATCATAGATTTAGAGCTTTTACAGACAAGGAAGTCACAAAGAACTCTCAGAGGCCATCTTGTCCAAACCTTTCATTTTTCATGAGAAAACTTAAAATGACTTGTCCAAGGTCATAGAGGGAGCAAGTGGCTGGCCAAGATTTGGGTCATGGTTTTTGGATTCCAAATTCAGTGTTTTCCACTTTACCATACTGCCTCCTCAAATTCTGCAAACAAATTCTCAACAACTTGTACACTTTCCCATTGGGTCATTTGTTCATATTGGCTTTCCCTCCTTTACTACCCTCTGGCTCTCCAGCCGAATTTCTGTTTTCACTCAATTTAAAGAGGAGGCAAATTCTAGTAAATTGGCTAAAAGTATTCACTGAATAGAGTTAATTTCTTGCTCAAGTTGGAGTCTTTGGTAGTGGGCTGATAAGCAACACATTGAGCTTATTATTATTATTACTTATATTCAAAACATAAGATCCAGGCTAATAATACCTGTGAATACTTAACACAATGAATATAGCATCTTTGTTCCAGGCAGTTCAACATACTAAATATTTTAAAACTGATTTTATTAGTAAATGCTGAATTATTTATGAGTAATAACAACAGCAATTCACCATATGTCTTTAGTTGATATGTAATTTTGCTGACAATCCATAGTATCCAATTTCGTTGATGAAATCTGGAACACACAAGTGGAATCCAACCATACTAATTACCAACTAAAACTAAAATAAATTTCTGGGAATATATATGACTATATGAACATTGATATAATTTGTCTTTTTGTGTATACCTTACCAATCTTAAAATCTTTTTAAGATATTGCTGTCCACCTAACAATGCAATTTATGGGAGAAATAAAACTAATTTTCATGTTAAAAATGAACTATAATGTTAGCTTTATGTTTTAGTCTTTACATGCATTAAAACATGGTCATAACTTTCTACATTTCACATACCAGGAAAGTGGTGCACAAAGAGTTCTAGGTCTTAAGCTTTTTTTAAGGTTGAAATGATGGAATATCTGGGATTAAATATTCCCTGGCTCTCTACAATCATACTTTTAATGGATATTCTTCTTTATCATAACAGAAAGACTGCATTTCAATGAGAGAAAATGTTAAAATAAGGTAAGTTTAAAAACTACCCAATCTTTGTAGAAGAAAATATTGAATAAAAAATATTAATCTACAACCATAATGAAAATAGATAAGAGTATAAACTGAATGAATGTTAAAATAAAATGCTAAAAACACATAAAGACTGAAGAAAAAATAAACATCAACACACATTCTTTATAAAAATTTTAATTTTCATAATTTCATTTGGAAAACCCTAGTCACAATATAGTTTAGTATTAATCCATCTAAATTTTGAGAACGGATAAAGAAATAAATGAATACTGTGAAGGCTTTTAAAAATACTTCATAAAAGTAAGCATAGATCTGTACAATGGCAAACAAATGTTTTGGTGGAAAATAGGAGTGCATATACGTGTACAGTGTGTTGTTTTAATGACTAAACTGGCTCTGTTATTTTTATTTAAATTCTAATCTTTGCTCCAAGGCATTCTTTCTGTATTTAGAAAATTTTACAAATCTAAATCTAATTCATTTGTAACAAGTCAGGTTCTCACTCAGTCTTATCTATACCATCTTCAGAAAAAAAAGAACATATAAAACAGCTCAACTTATGTTAACCAAGGCTAAATACAAATTCCTCTTAAATAATCTCTCATATGGTATAGCAATAATGTAGCTCAAAAACATGAGAGAAAATATCTTCCATCCATTTCTGTTATAAAGGAAAATTATCACTTGTTGGAGGCACAGAATGCAGGAACGAGTTAGAACCTGCTACTCTACATGATTAGAAGAAAAAATGTGTTGCATAATAGCTAATTTAAGGGGATTTCCTTGCCAACCAACAAATGATCTGATAGTGCTAAAAGAGAAATTTCTCATCTTCAACTACACTTTTTTGGCAAAACAAAGAATTGTTTTTAGTTATTAGACTTTTAAATATAGCATATTTTTCCACTAAGCAAAACTTAGGTTAACTTCTCCAATATGCAAATCAACATAGGATTTCTTCTAAATGCTTTACCAAAGCAAGCTAATTTTTTTGCAATGCCAGAGTAAAGAGAGGAACAATATGGTATGTTTCTAGATACTGACCAGTGCAACTGTAACACAATTAAGTGTCTTTGGGAAGCTCAAGAAATGTGAATCCAACAGGAGAAGGCAAGTTTAACTTCTTTCATGATTCTTTAAAAGAAAAATTATTTTAATTTCCATAGAATGTTGAGGAATTGTAAACTGAAGTTTTTTCTACATTAATTTAAGGCATGAATGTTTGACAATTTTAAAGAATGTTTCAAAAGGAATATTAAATGTTAGGGAAAGATAATAACATGCTTTTAAAAAAACTGATTAATGGCATCAATAAAACCAAAATTCAACATTTTCTCAACAATTTTTCTCCCCAACATACTGACACTCACATTTCATATTCATGTCATCCAGCATAGTCTAATAAAAGGAAATGTCAATGTCAAGACTTAAGATAATAATACCAATAATCAATACTTTTCTTCAACAAAGTAAAAAAACTAATTTTAAGATTTTATACTATTCTTTTCATCAAACCCTTTTCAGTAAAAACAAAATGCAGTGTTCTTTTTATACCACAATGGGAAGAGAAATTAAAATATTCACAGCATGGGATACTTATACAAAAACTATCCGAACTTTTGTGTTCTGTCATTAAAAAAAGTTCTGAAAATATCTGGTACATAGCCAGAATGCTGAGTCTAAGTCTGCACAGGTCATCATCTCTTTAATGATAAACAGTACTTTATGTGAAAAAATTATCAAGTTTTCAAACAAATGCTGACTAAATTAAAGATATAGATTATAGGGATAGTTTGGGGTTAGGAAACCCATGGCTCTGAGGCAAAAACTATTATAACGGACCACATCCATCAACACAGTGACTATCTCCTGATAATTTTCAGTTGGTATTTGTTGAGAACCAAAAATTCCAGAGGAAAAAACTATTGAACTACTACCATTCAAAGTATTTATTCAAATGTAAACAAGATCACAAAGGAAGAGAAGTCTAAATGACCACGATCAAATGTGTAGCACTGCAGATGGTCATAATTATCACCATCTTTGGAACAACCACTAAATTCTGCTGAAGACAGATTAAAATTGAGTCATCTGCAGAAGAAGGACTAAGTTATATAGGAAAGCTAATGCAGTGTGCCTCTGCCCTATGCTAAACAGTGATATCGGTCCCTAATTAATATTTATTTAATATTTATTGTTAAATATTAAATAAATATTTTAAATATTTAACAAATATTTAAAAGCAAAGTACATCTCGTTCTTCATTTTTAAGTTAGCATTTCCAGAAGGACAAAAATCCATGTGAGCTTTTCAAATTTCATTTGAAACTCATGGCCAACTTTAAATAAAATTTATAAAAACACAAAAACAAAAAGACATAGGCACTGCCTAGATGAGTCTCTCCAACAGTACAAAGGGATTATTCAGCCAGCCCTTGCTAGCAATTTACTGAGATTAAGACAGTTATTTTGGGACACATTAAAAACATTTGGAGGCATGCTATTTTTCAGTACCATTAATAAATTGCTACTATGCTATTAAGTGGTCCCAGTGTTCTATAAGGAAGCATCTAGTATAGTGCTCAACAAATATTGCTTTACTGGTCAAGGTGCCTATTTTAATGGTTGAAGAGTTAACACTTGCTGAATATATACCTAGCACGTATGCTACAAGTACTGTACTTAAAATACATCAAGCAAATTCTATAAATGCTTTATGAATTTCAAATTCATATTAAAAAGAACAATATTAAACACTGGCAAAGAAAACTCCAGATAATAATGAACTTGGCCCATCAGTGCCCACAAGCCCCCAAAGTATAATTTTAAAACACCACTGTTACAATGAATTCAGTAGTCTTGGAAGTTTTACACCTGAGTAGCTCAAAATTTTCCCTTCTGAATTTTAAACAAGTGCAAAGAGTTTTTCGTCCCAGGAAATTGCATAAGTTCAGGATCTTGACTCAAAATCAAACATAGTATGAACTGGAGGTAGCATAAATTTCTCAACTAATATAAAAAAGTAAAGTTATTTCAAACTATTTTGGAAGAATTATTGAACTATTTAAAATCTTGAAAAGTAGGCTTCTTTCTACCTTGATTCTGAAATCTCTTTATTGTCTTCCCCCTTTTTACTAAAAGAATACTGTTGGGTCCAGGCCCCCTGTGGTCCTGTAGCATCAACCGCAATATCAATGACAGAATCAGGAGTCAGCCACCTCAGGAAAATGAGGAAGAGGAAGTTCAACACAGCCAACAAAGCGAAGGTGCAGCCAGTCACTGGGCCACAGTGAGAGATCAGCCTGTTCAACCGCTTGTCCATTGGTAACACAGCTTCCCTAGACACTCTGTCATACACCTAGAAAGAGTAAAAAGAGCAAATCACAGTCCAGGAACCTCCGAGTTAGTGGCCACTTATCTTCCCATGAACTCTCTGTACACAAAGATACAGATACTTCATGTGTGTTTGCTTTGATGGGCCCCATCGCTCCAACCAGAGGAGACTGGGTCACTAGCTGCTAGTGTCCAAGAACACATCAGAAAGGTTGTGGCACCTTCACCAGGCAAGGCCAAGTTTCTAGCACAGTGCCCCGGCCTCCTTCTATTTTATTGTCACTTCTGCATGTGTTATGTTGTCTCTGACCAGACTGAAGGTCTCTACTATACTACTTTCCAGTGTCATCCCTGGTGGTCGGACAGACTCACACCACATTGCGCAGGACACAGGAGTGACAGAACACAGACACTACAAGAAAGCACTAGGAGGTAGCAGATACACTGAACATCACAGAGTTTGGCTGGAGCCAGCTTTCTAAAGCACTTTTGAATACCCAGCTGAGGAAAAGCATTAAGAAAAGACTTCTCACCCTAACTACAGAAAGATCAAGGCAAATGTGAGTAAGCTGTAGCTAGACAAAAAACTGTGAGCATTTATTTTTAGGTAGAATAAAGTAATAAGTATACACTGCTTTGAGCTTTATACAACTGTAGGGTATACTCCAGAGTAATATTTTCTAGCAGGAGCAGCTTCCTCTATCTGACTACTTAAAAACAGTGATTTGTAATGACTAAATAATTAAAATTCTTATGAAGAAAATGTAAATGACACAAAATATTTTTTAATATTGAAGTGCCAGAGAGCACATCTGTGCTTTGTCTTTCAGACGAGCTTGTTATATTTCCCCTAAAATGACATTATTTCTTGTTGACTCTGGTTGAGGCCCTCATCTCTGCTTAATTAGACCACTCCAATTGCCTCTTAATTGGTCTCCTCCTTCTACTTTCTCTCCTCCCTCTCCAAACCATCCTCTACTTTGCTGCCAATCTGATACTTTTTTAAAAAAATTTTTAGGCAGTTGGGGTTAAGTGACTTGCCCAGGGTCACAAAGCTAGTACTTGTCAAGTGTTTGGTCTGAGGCCGGATTTGAACTCAGCTCCTCCTGACTTCAGGGCTGGTGCTCTATCCACTGCACCACCTAGCTGCCCCCAATCTGATCCTTCTAAAACAGAGATGTGACCATGTCATACCTCTCAAAAATCCCTCCTCAAAAATCCAGAGCTTGATTTTACCACTAGGATAAAATAAAAGATGTTCAGTCTGGCATTTAAAATTGTCCACAATCTGCTTCCCACCTACATTTCCAGTCTTATATCACATTATTTTTCTTCATAAACCCTCTGTTCCAGTGAAAATGGCCTGCCATTTCCCCTATAAGCTGGGCTCCATCTTCAACTACAGATGGTTCTCCACATCTGGAAGACTCTCTGTCCTAACTTCTACTTCATAAGACTTCCTAGCTTCTTTCAAGGTGCAGCTGGCGCTAAGCTGTGGAAGCTGTGCTAAGCACAGCTGAGGCTGTGTACTACTACAAGGAGCTTTTCCTAATGCCCTGAATTGTTAACATTCTGTTCTGCTTAAAATTACTTTGTATGTACTTTTTATTTAGTTATACATATTTGTGTTCTACCTATACTCCTTCCTTGAACCCAGGAACCTGGAAATTCCATGAAAGCAGGGACTATTTCCTTTGTTGTTTTTTAATCCCCAGACGGTACTTTGCACCAAACAGGTTCTTAAATATCTGTTGAATTATTGACTGTTGTAATAATCTAATTGTTTCCCTGCTTCAACTCCCCATTCTCTAATCAATCTTCCACACAACTGCCAAAATAATCTCGCTCTTCCTTGATACTCTTTTCTCTATAGGTTTTCAGGATACCACTTTTTTCTGTTTTTTTTTTCCCTACTTATCTGATAGCTCCTTTTCTGTCTCTCAGGGTTAACCCCTGGGTCTTCCTCTCTTCTCCCTCTCTTCTGCTTCTCTTGGTGATCTCATCAGCTCCCATGGATTTAATTACCATTACTGTGATGATTCTGAAATCTAAGTATTCTGCCTCAATCTCTCAGCTGACCTCCAAGCTCCCATCTCCAACAGTCTTTCACACATTTTGAACTAGATGTCCAGTAGAAATCTAACTCAGTATATTCAAAACAATTCGTTATCTTTCCTCCCCCTAAACCTTCTATCTCCCATTTCCCCCCCTTCTCTACTGCTACAGAGGGCAACACTATGTTCCCATTCCTTCAGGCCTGCAACCTAGGAGTCATCCTGTATTCCTCACTATCTCACTCCTATATCCACTGTCGCTGAGGCCTGTCAATTTCACTTTTTAATTTATTTAATCTTTTTTTCCTCAATTACATGTAAAAAAATTTTAACATTCATTTTATAAAGTTTTGAATTCTAAATTTTCTCTCTCTCTTCTTCCCCTTCCCTCTCCTTGAGAAGGCAAGCAATTTGATGTAGATTATACATGTGAAGTCATACAAAACATATTTTCATATTAGCCATGTGGCAAAAGGAAACACAGACCAAAATAAACAAGAAAAAATAAAGTTAAAAAAAGTATGCATCCATCTTCACTCAGACTCCATTAGTTCTTTCTCTGCAGGTGGATAGCATTTTTTCATCATAAATCCTTTAGAACTGTCCTGGATTACTGAATTGCTCAGAATAGCTACACCAGGGCTGGGGAATCTGTAGCCTCGAGACCATATGTAGGCTTTTAGGCCCTCAAGTGCAGCCCTTTCATTGAATCCAAACTTTATAGAACAAATCCCTGTAATAAAAGGATTTGTTCTATAAAACTTGGACTCAATCAAAAGGCGCACCCAAGGACCTAGAGGGCACATGTAGCCTCAAGACCACAGTTTCTCCACCCCAGTCTAGTGCATATTGTCTTTCCCTTTGTTTCATTGTCTATTCTAATTCCTTCAATTTCTTTTTCTTCTCTTATTGCTATAGCTAGCATTTCTAGTATAATATTAAATAATAGTGGTGATAATGGGCATCTTTGCTTCACCCCTGATCTTTCTGGAATGCTTCTAGCTTATCCCCATTATAGATAATGCTTGCTGATTACTTTAGATAGATACTATGTATCATTTTAAGGAAAGCTCCATTTATTACTATGCTTTCCAGTGTTTTTAATAGAAATGGGTGTTATAGTTTCTCAGAAGCTTTTTCTGCATCTATTGAGATAATCATATGATTTTGGTTGTTTTGTTATTGATATGGTCGATGTGCTGATAGTTTTCCTAAGATTGAACCAACCTTGCATTCCTGGTATAAATTCTACCTGGTCATAATGTATGATCTTGGTGATATATTGGTGTATCCTTGCTAGTATTTTATTCAAAATTTTTACATCTATATTCACCAGAAATAAGTCTGTAGACTTCTTTCTCCGTTTTTGTCCTTCCTGATTTAGATATCAGCACCATATTTGTGTTGTAAAAAGAATATGGTAGGACTCTTTCTCTGCCTATTTTTCTAAACAGTTTATATAATATTTAATTGTTCTTTAAATATTTGATAGAATTCACTTGTGATTCCTTCTGGCCCTGGGGATTTTCTCTTAGGGAGCTCATTTATGGCTTGTTCAATTTCTTTTTTTATGATGGGATGATTTAAGTATTCTGTTTCCTCTTCTGTTAATCTAGGCAATTCATATTTTTGTAAATATTAACCCATTTTACTTAGATTGTTAGATGTACTGGCATATAATTGGGCAAAATAGCTCCTAGTAATTGCTTTTAATTTCCTCTTTATTAGTGGTGAATTCATCCTTTTCATTTCTGATACTAATAATTCATTTTTTTAAATCAAATTAACAGTTTATCTATTTTATTGTTTTTTTCCCATAAAACCAGCTCCTAGTTTTACTTATTAGTTCAATGGTTTTCTTGCTTTCAATTTTATTAATCTCTCTTTGATTTTCAGGATTTTTAATCTGGTGATTAATTGGGAATTTTAACTTTTTTCCCCCAGTTTTCTCAATTGCATGCCCAATTCATCGGTCTACTCTTTCTTTATTTTTGATGTAAACATTTAGAAATGTAAATTTTCCCCAACATATTGCTTTGGCTGCATCTCATAAGTTTTTGTATGCTGTCTCATTGTTGTCATTCTCTTTAATTAAAATTTTTACTGTTTCTTTGATTTGTTCTTTGATCCACTCATTCTTTAGGATTCGTTTCCAATTAATTTTTTTTTTTGGTGGGGCAATTGGGGTTAAGTGACTTGCCCAGAGTCACACAGCTAGTATGTGTTATGTGTCTGAGGCCAGATTTGATCTCAGGTCCTCCTGATTCCAGGGTCGGTGCTCTACCTACTGTGCCACCTAGCAGCCCCCTAATTAATTTTTAATCTGTTTCTACAGCCCTTTAATGAATGTAATTTTTATCGCACGATGGTTGGAAAAGGATGCATTTAATATTTCTGTTTTTATGCCTTTGGTCGTGAGGTTTCAATTGCACCTTAGCAACACCTCCTGAATATGTCCTCTTCTCTACTGACACTGCCACCATTCTAGTGCCCTTATCACCTCAAGCCTAGATCATTGCTCTACCTCAATTCTCTCCCCACTCCAATCCCTTCTCCATTCAGCCACTAAATTGATTTTCCTAAAGCATAGGTATGATCATGTCACTGTCCTCGGCACTCCCTATCCACAAAGGCCAGTACCTCCCTATGCCTCCAGGGCAAATATAGAATGCTTTGTTTGACATTCAGAGCTCTTCATAACCTAGCCCCTCCTACCTTTCTAGTGTTCTTATGCCTTCTCCCCCATCCCCAAATACTCTTTGATCCAGTGACACAGGCCATCTGACTATTTCATCAACAAGACACTCCATTTTTCAGTTCTGGGCAAGTTTTCTTGCCCAGGCAAGATGTTCCTCATGCCTGGAATGCTCTCCTTCCTCCACTCTGACTGGCTTCCTTTAAGTACCAACTAAAACCTCATTTTTTACTGGAAGCCTTCCCCAACACTTCTTAATTCTAGCACCTTCTCTCTATTAATTACTTCCTATTTATTCTGTGTGTAGCTTGCTTTCTAAATATTTGCTTGCCTATTGTATTCTCCATTAGATTGTAAGCTCCTTGAGGGCAGAGAATGTCTTCTGCCTCTTTTTGTTTCCCTAGCAGGTAGTACAGAGCCTGGTCACAAAGTGGGCATTTAATACATGTTTAAGGATTGATTGGTTTATTCCTAAGGTGTAGCTAAAAATATGTATACTCTCTTGCTCAAAATACATCAACAGATACTTATTTCCTCTAGGCCAACATGTCTAGTTTTTAAGACAATCCACAATCTGGTTCCAACCTTATTTCATATATTTCCTTCACACATTTTACATTCCAACCAAACTAGAATTTCTCACCAAAGTTGAGATTCTATCTCTTGCCTCCACAAATGCATACATTTCTCATGCCTGAAATGTATTCCCTTCTCATTCCTGACTTTCAGAATCCTTATTTCCCCTCAAATTCCATATCTCCTCTGTGAAGTCTTTCCTGATCCCCAGTGCTATTCTCTACTTTAAATTACTTTGTAGCATTTTTTTGGGTACATTCCAAGCAAAACAAACTCTTTAAGAACATAAACTTTTTGCTTTTGTCTTTGTAACCATAGTGCCTAGCTTAAAAATGCAAGATATTTTCTACATGGAAAAAGCAAATTATAATTGCCAGATTAAGTTGTATAATAAATCTGTTGATAGATATAAGCATAGTATTAGGCATCTTTGAATCAGATTTTAAACTATGGCCTCCAAGTAACAGTAATCAGTGGAAAAGTCTGGGTCTCCTCAATGTGTCAGTAGGAATACCAGACTTGGATTCTGGAGACACGGGGACAAATGCTGACTCCAACAGTTACTAAGCTCTACAACTATGTCACTTAATCACTAGTCAGCCTCTGAGCCTCAGTATTCTCATTTGTAAAATGAGAATAATTACATTTGTACTACCTACCTCACAAAACTTTTGTGAAAAGAGTATTTTGTAAACTTTAGCTTACATTTAAAATGTAGCATTTTATGGTGATCTTTATGGTGGAGATCTTTCAGATCTCTGCCAATTCTAAAATTCTATGATTCAACTGCAAGTTTTTCTTAACAAACAGTCCAATAACCGAAAACGTCCTTATTTCATATAGATTACATTTTATGAAATATGGATCAACCATTACTGGATGTCACATATGGAGCTAGAGATTTTTAATTTCTATTTCAAGTTAGAACAAGTGAAGACCCATTACAACTCAAGTTTAGTCATTTGCTGATGTCTCAGACAATTCTTAGTCATTTTAAGACACATACATACCTTTTCAGTTCTCTCTGCGACATTCCTCCAGGTATAGAATGTTTTTACTCTGTTATGGATTTTTTCTGGATCTGGCAATGTTCCTGACTTCAGCTGAGAAATAGCTTTTTCTAAGCCATTACACAAAGATTTTACTGATGGTTCACACAAAATGATAAGATTATCTGGCAGTACCTCAGGAATTCCACCAACCTGGTACTCACAACCTTTGAAAGGCAAGAAAACAACATGAGTTACTATAACACACATCTCCTAGAAACAGATATTGTAAGAAAACCAAGTACCAAATGATAGACCAAATTCTTAACCATATACAAAAAAAGGAAAAACAAAGCAAAACCAATTGTCCAAACTTTTTACCTGTAAACCACAACTTGCTGCTTCCACAATTGCCATGCAGAAAGCCTCAGTAAGAGAAGTATTTAGAAAGATGTGCCCCTGAACTAAGACATCTCTAACATCCTGGTGTTCCAAGGCTCCCAGAAGACGTACTCTAAATTTAAAGAAAGGTGTAGGGAAGGAAAGATAACAATATGCAATGATAAGGAGTATAATTTATAACTTTCAAAGTTTTCCACAAGTTATACTTAAGTTCTTCCTCATTTTGATTTCTTAAATATTGAAAAATAACCACCAAAATCTAAAGAAACATCTTTACACAACTTACCCTGTTTACTGTGCTAACAATATATTTTCTACCCTTGGAAAGTAAAAGGGAAAATGCAAATAATGTTTTTAACTGCTAATTTCCTTAACCTTGTCTTTTTCTTCTAATTAAAATATTAAGGCTAGCTTGGCAATGGGATTCTAAAATGTCAATGCAAACTTTTCCAACCAATTATTGTATTTCTACTATTCCCAAATTTATAAATTATATTGGCAGTAAGGAAAAGACCCATACACAAGTGGTAATCTTTTAAACATTTTTTTCTTCTTATAGATGAATTTAATTCAAGATAAATGCAATTCTAAGGATGTCTTGAAACTACCACTGGGAAAGGCAATAAAACTAATATACTGCTTTCTAACTGAACCTCTCTCTATAAAACTCTAGTACTCTTACACGGAGAATAAAGAACTATTCAATACCTGTCATGTAGTTGGTATCTTTCTCGCACTTCTTCCAAAATGATTCTCTTTGGCCCCTCTCCTCCAACTATGAAATTTAAATCTGAATATTTCTGACAGAGTTCAGGTATTATCCCACTAAGCAAATCAATCCCTAAGAACATGAGATTAAAAAAAAGTTATGAAAGGTTCATTTTAGGAGAGAAAAATCCTTTTATGCATCTTATTCAAAATGACTATTCAACTCTTCATACACAGGGAGGAGAAAAAAAAGGTACACTTCTTGTCCAACTCCTAGAAAGGCAATACTGCTCGCAAATGATCACAAGTCTTCTAATTCTGAAAACTATTTACAAAGATCCTTTAATATTTTAAAGCATAGTGAAGTGGACAGAAAACAGTTTCAGACCCAGAAAGCCCTTAATTCCAGTTCCCCCTCTGATACATACCTGTTGTTACTCTGGACAAGTCATTTACTGTCTTGGTGCTCTAGGCCAGATATGGCAAACACAGTGTGGAATGAACCAGATTAAAATGTAATTGGGAAATATTTCACAAAATTAAAAAAAAAGGTAATAATTTTCACATATGGTTTTCTAAGTCAGTATGTGGCCCACTGAGGGTTTTTATGTATAGTTTAGGGGCCCATGTTTCTATCGGCATTTGACACCACTGCTCTAAGCAACTGTCAAAGATTCTAAGTTATAGAGAACATGCCAACCTTCTGCACTAGTAGGAATTTCTTCATTAAGAGTTCCCTGAGGCAGCAGCTAGGTGGCGCAGTGAATAGAGCTCTGGCCCTGGATTCAGAAGGACCTGAGTTCAAATTAGACCTCAGACACATAAATAACACTTACTAGCCGTGTGACCCTGAGCAAGTCACTTAACCCCATTGCCTAGCTTAAAAAAAAAAGGTTCCCTGCACCAATGACATTATAGGATAGGAATCCCTATCCTATTATTTATCTTTAGAAGTCTAAATGAACTCTCTCCTGCTACATGTGAACTTACTACCCCCTTAGCCGGATTTTTCCTCAAGTGTAAAATTCTACTTCAACAAGTTAATGTATTAACATGCCACAAGAAGTGAAGCAATAAAAAATCCTTCTGGTTGCTACTACTTAAGAATAGCCATATGATGGTTTGGAATATAAAGTAACATAAGCACATCCTATAAAGTATCCTTCATCAAGTTCATCTGACAGTAAGATTAAAACATTTTACCCAAGTTCCACTCTAAAAGTTGGGATCACTATAATGTCCTTTAGGAAACTGTTGACCAGCCTAATTCAGTCCTTTGTTCTTCACATGGGTTTGGAGCAGATAATATCAGTTCCATTTGTTTTAAACCTAACAGCAAAGTTTGTTTATTTAAGTACAACATAGGTTAAGATAAGGTAAGCTTAAGTTTTATCATTTTTTGGCCTTAATATAGCATTTTAAATTTCTATTTCCAATATAAATGTTATGAGAACCTATCTTAAAGCAAAAATTCATAGCCAAAGAACAATAAGCAATAGTTACAAAGTTCCCCAAAGGCCAAGATTATTTTATGTTTGTCTTTGTTAAGCTCATCCTTAGCACAGCGCACAGCACATAGCACACATTTAGTAAATGCTTATTGATTTGACAGGACATCATAAATTACATATATCTATTAGATCAGGCCTGTACAACATGCAGCCTGCCAAAGTAGTCCACGGGCAGTATGCTATAGAGGCCTGTTTTACATCCTCTCTACATTTTTTCATGGGCTGCCTGAAATCCTTTGGCAGGCTCCAAGTGGCCTGTGGGCTACATGTTATTGGGCCATATCAGACTATTATGCTAGAAATAATTTTCAGGACAATCAAAAGTTAACAGTGACATAAAAGTTAGGGAAAAAAGGATGTGGTAGATTTAAGTAGGTTGTAACATGTCACCAATGACATTCAATGTTTTGCCTGAAAGAAGTGGCATTCAAAAGGCCAGCATGATATAAAAATACGTACTGATGGGAAAGCAGATCAGCCAGCCATGTAGCAAGAAGAAAGAACTAAAGATGGAAGAGCCTAAAAGCTACACTAGTATTCATGAAGTATTAAAAGAACCATATGAAAGTCTCCACCAAGTTAGACAGGTTTCTCTACACATATGGAAAGACATGTAAAAGAACTGTATGGTATGAAGATTTACATGGTTTGTGAGATGTACCAGGGAAGGGAATGAAATAGTCTGTAAATGAAAGTTGATTTTGTCCTACTCAAAAAAACATATTCAGCAATCTGACTAAAGACCGAATATACCTTTAAAAAAATTTCTTTAGGTTTACCAAATTTCCAACGGTCATGATCACACAAAATGGGACATGGAAATATTTACTGATTCAAATTTATTTAAAGTTGATGACTCAGTTTTCCCCCCTCAATTCAAAAATCTATAGCCAGATAAAGAAGCTTCCCTACATAAGTGTTTGTGAATCAGAAGATTTGTGGCTTCATACCTGGTGAAGTGTCATGAGGCTCTGATTAATATGAAGGCAGATTTCAAGAGACGTGAAGGTCAGATGATACATCTTTGACATGGATTACCTAGTTTCATATGCTACAGAAAGTTCACCTCTCAGAAATGCTCCTCTTGTCATTCACTAAGGCAATTTATTTTTTCTAAATAGTCAATACGGAAAAATCAAATGGCCCCCCTTAACTTTCAGATCCAAAATGTTCCTCCTGTGCCACCATGCCTGTTATCTCCCTCATTAGAATGTAAGCTCTTGGAGAACAGGGACTGTCTTAGCTACTGGTACTACTTTACTACCTACTTAGGGCTTAATAATCCATTTTCATTCATTCAGTCATTTACAAAATTCTCCAGATAATTTTTCTGATGGAGGCATGTATATTAATTCTCAGCAGGTTGCTTACATTGAAAACAAGAGTTATTTTAACAAGAGTTATTCACCTCCATTCAGCTACTAATGTTCCTGAAGCACAGGTCTAACTATGTCATATACCTATTTAGTCTAGAGTGGCTTCCTATTGCCTTCAGGATCAAATATAAAGTTCCCTGTTTGGCATTCAAAGCACTTTACAGACTGCCCCCCTCCTACTTTTCCAGTCTTCTTCCACATATTCTACAATCCAGACATCTGCTTTTTCTTCCATCTCCAAATACCAGGCACTTTCACTGACTGCCCTCCACTTTCTACAAGATGCCATTGGTAATACCCCTTCATGCTAATCCATTTGTTGATTATCTCCAGTTTATCCAATCTATATCATTTGTACATAGTTGTTTGCATGTCATCTTCCCCATTAGACTGTGAGCTCCTTGAAAGTAGGCACCTGCTTTTTGCCTTTCTTTTCATTGCCAGTGTCCAGCACAGAGTAAGCACTTAATAAATGCTTATTGACTGTTGACTTAACTTTACTCCTGTGGCTAATTGGCTCACATTTGGTTAAAATGCCTTAATGATGATCAGGGCCTGTTAGCTATGCTCCATGCAGGTCAGTTAGCTATTCTCTGTTCTATGATCACATGCTCACTGCACTTCTAATTCTATCTAGTCATCCCATACAAGTATCCTATTATTCCAAAAGAGAACTGGCAAAAAAAGTATAAATGAATCAGAACAAAGCCATTGCTACTATGGGGAAGAAAACAAGAACTAAAAGCACATATCTTAGTTAGGGTATGTCAATATAATAAAAGAATGAAAGAGCATAAGCCTGTGAGGAGATGTTACTGTTAAGTATAGAACATTACTCACTGATGATCCCCTGGTCACCTTACCTGATCTTTTAATCTTGCTGTAAGAGCTTCCAAGCCTTGGATCAAACCTAGCTATTTGTATGTCATTATAGCTACAACCAAAACGTGGCTTCTAAGGGATATAGTACACCTCCTACTCATCTAGAAATAGGGAGGAACTGATCTCCTCTTGCTTTATTTCAACTGAGAAAAAAGTTAAGATTCTTCAGAGCTTTACTAAATAGCTACAAGAAAAGTTAGAAACAAAACATTACACAATTGGTAAGTTTACAGTATCTAGAAATCTTCATTTCCACTCTTCATCTCACACTTACAATCACAAATTTGAAAGAAAATTTAAAAAAAAAAACATTTAGTTGAAGAAAAGCCTTTACCATCTAGCCCCAAATGTTCCTTGTGTTTTCAGATAACCCTGCACTGAACTTGCAGATATGTCCTTTTCCTGGTGGTCTCTACAGTTGCTCTCACAGGTCTGTTTTCACCCATGTCCTATTTCTATATCCCTCAATTGCCTTTGATATTTTACACTAAGCACAACTGAACTCTACCTTGTTAGTATATAGGCCAGTGTCCATGAAGAGGCATCCCCTGACACTGACCAGAAATAACCGACTTCCTTTTCCTGTACCCTGACCACGTTTTTCTCCTCAAATCATTGGCAGATTAATCTAAAACAAGAAAGAATCTGAGGCTAAAGAACACTAATGCATTTCCCCACACAAATTACCTTTTGATGACTCATTTTGAGGAGAGGGTCTCTGAGAATCCAATCTTGCAATTTCACAACACATATAACTTAAACACACAGTATTAACACCAATCATTTTCACTAACAGCAAGGTTTGGTTCTCCTATTTATCATAATTTAACTTTACAAAATACATACTGCAATGACAAATGGTGTCTTAAATATTATCCAAATAGTATTAGCGTACTTATAATTATCAAATTCAGAGATAACCTATGTAAATAGTATGTAAAAAAAATTTTCAAAACACATTTTTTTAAACCAACATTCACCCTCAATTTCAAATAAATATGTAACTTTGTCTACTGGATTTATAAATTATTAAGTTCTCTTATTACTATTTAATCAACTGCAAGCTGTATGGAGGATTTATGGAGAGACATGGACAAGAACCAAACAGCATAATAAAACATGGAAGGGTTATGATCTGTACCAATTAAGGAGATGTTCAATTTATGAGATCATGGATGTTCCCAAAGTATGAAAATATATAAGCACATATCAAAACAATTAAAAAGCGAAATAATAAACTGACATTAAATAGCCTACAACAGAAACTTCTCCATGAACTGCAGCTCCAGTTTACTATTTCATTCATTACCTTTTCTGTAAACAAGCCTGCTGATAACAACAATAGTTATTACACTATCATCCCTTCTAAATGGGTCTGGAGTGAAGTCAGTAGGATCTACAGCATTGGGGATGACGGATACTATCTCAGGATTCAATGCTGCTCTTAGAACAGTGTTTTCCTTGCTAGTATAAGAGACACAAATTATATGATTTGTATCACAAAGCGACACAGTTAGAAGTTTGTTTGTAAGCACCGAGCTGACATCAGCAAATCCAAAAAGAGAATGGTCTGTGAAGACTGTCTGTAGGCCCATTGTCTTGGCATGGAAGAGTGCATCATGGGCCATGGCAGAAAAAGAACTATGTGAATGGATTATGGTGACTCTCTCCCGAACAAATATGTACCTGAGCAGAGGCAGACTGTGAAAGAGAGTTGTTGCTGTAGACTGATTGTACATGACTTTTAGCGGTAAATAATATACTTTGAGGCCACTGGTAAGGTATCGAATACCTTTTCTATTTCCATAAGCATGGGTAACAATTATGACTTTGTGTCCTCTTTCAATCAGACACTGAGATAGCTGGTATATGTGGCTTTCCACTCCTCCCATATTTGGATAAAAAAAATCAGACACCATGCAGATATTATGTGTTCCAGTTCTTCGCAGCAGATGGATTCCACAGTTAGTATGAGAGGGTTTAGATGTGATAGACTGTCCATGCCCATTTACTTTTCTATATGCCATATTAAGATGAGGTTTAGTCATCAGTCCTCACAGCAGTCCACTGAGACAGATGCCATTTGTTCCCTGGTGAAGGAAATAAAAAAAACTCAGCAAAATGCATTCCAATTGCCATTCCTAGATATATGTATACACCCTAAATGGTTCCATATTTATTATTTACTTAGCCTTTACCCAGCAATGAAAAAGTACATATACTAAATAAGCCTAAGTGGCAGATAATAAGTAGTGGTTCATATAGCTCAGCATAATGCTATTAGACATAAAAGGTAAGTACCTAAAAGTAAAAACATGAAAAGTTATGAATTGCCATGATATAGTATAATATAGCCTATTCTTGACAGGGCAGCTAGGTGACGGTGGATAGAGTGCTAGGCCTGGAGTCAGGAAAACTCATCTTCTTGAGTTCAAAATCTGGCCTCACTCACTTCCTAGCTGTGTGACTCTGGGCAAATCATCTATTGCTTCAGTTCCTCATCTGTAAAATGAAGTGGAGAAGGAAACAGCAAACCACCAAGAAAACCCCAAATGGGGTCACCAAGAATTGGGCACAACTGAACAATTCCAGGTCCATTAGTATAAAAATAATTTTTAAAATGCATTTCATCTATATTTTTTCCCACCTCTCTATATTTAGCTTTTTTTAAAAAATTTTAATTTACTACCTATTTTAGCATTCTTTTCAAGTTTTGAGTCCCAAATTTTCACACTCCTCACTCTTTCCTCCACCTACTAAAAAAGCAAGCAATATGATATCAATTATACATGTGAATTCATGCAAATCATATTTCCATATGAGCCATATTTCAAACAAGAAAAATAAAGAGAGAAAACTGTACTTCAATTTGCACTCAAGAGTTCATCAATTCTCTCTCTGGAGATGGACAGCATTTTTTCATCAAGAGTCCTTTGGAAATTGTCTTGGATCATTGTTTTTATCACACTAGCCAAGTCTTTCAGAGCTGATCAGCATTACAACATTGGTCTTACAGTACACAATGATATTCCAACTCTTCTCACTTTTCATCATTTCATATAGTTTTTGCCATGTTTTTCTGAAACTACCAACCCCCTCCACTCCATCATTTCCCACAGCACAATAGCACCTAAGCGCCATCATGTGCTACAGCTTGTTTAGCCATTCCCCAATTGATGAGAAATCCCCTTGATTTCCAATTCTTTGCCACCACAAAAAGAGCTGCTATAAATATTTTTGGACATATAGTTCCTTTTCTTTTTTCTTTTATCTCTTTGGGTTACAGACCTTCTAGTAGTATTGGTGGGTCAAAAGATATGCACAGTTTTGTAATTCTATGCATAGTTCCAAACTGTTCTCTAGATTGGTTGGCCCAGTTCACTAGTCCACCAACAGTTCATTAGTGTACCTATTTTCCCTTCATCCCCTCCAGCATTTGTTATTTCTAATATGTGTGAGGTGGTACCTCACCACAATCAACTTTAACTAACAGCCATCCATTCCTTTCTAGAAAGGCTTCTACACAGTTAGGCAAACTAACTTGCCTCTGCATGATTTGTAATCTTGGTAGGGTTCTAATTAAACAACAAAGGAGTCTAGATTATGTGATGGTTAGAGAGAGAGATCCAGGGACCCAGGGATGCAATAATGAAAGCCAACCACAGACTGAATTTCAGTTAATCAATGTCTCATGCTCCTTTTTTCTTTCAACAATTCCATTTATATTTTGGAACACACATTTCTAAATGTTCTAGCCCATTCATCTGCTCACTCTGCTAGGTAATGTGGAAAAGATTTAGGGTTTAAAAAGGCATGCCTCCTCATCCTCCTATAGTTTCCACTTTTTATAAATACACCAGTTCTCTCCAAGTTCCTGTTTCAGATAACAAGTATATCACGTCTATATAACACTCTAGGGTTTGCAAAGCGCTTTCCTCCCAGATCTCTCAGGTGGGCAGTGAACCAGCATCATTATTTTTATTGCACAGATGAAGAAATTGAAGTTTTTAAGTGAGGCGGCTTGCTCGGGATCCCCTAGGTGCTACGTATTTGGGGTGGGATTTCCTAACTCCAAACCTACAGCAAAACCTACATTCTGATAAAATACCTCTCCAAGTCACACTTTGTCCTCCCTGCCCCCCCATAAAAAACAAAAACAACAACAACAACCACCACCACAACAACCCCACAACCCCGGGAGATTCTGAGCTATTCTGCAACGAGCTGTCCTAACCCTGTCTAACAAATTTCAGCACAGCCTGAGTTTATCTATCATGACCTTAAATCCCTCAACAACTTTCTCAAGAGAAGGCGATCCGGCAGAACTGCTCTGTGGGCACGATCAAGGCACGGCGCAGAGAACGTGGGCAGAAGTTACTTCCACGAGAACGGGGTCAAACTGAGCCCCTGCTGTTCGGGGGGGATGTGGGGATGAGAAAGGTGTAAGGGAGCCGACGACAGGCTCAGAAACCCCTACCAGAGAGCCCCGACTCCATTCTTCCCCGTACAGGCACCGCAACACACGCCGACGGGCTGCCGCAAAGCCCCCTGCGGTGCCCGCCCGCCCGGGCTCCGGGACCGGGCTCGGGAGCCTCGAGACCCTCCCACCGCCCACTTCCGGGCCGCCCTCGGGTCCCGCCTGGATTGTGCCCCGGGGCCGCCCTCCTCCCCTCCCCCCAACCCCCGATTCGTGGGAAAAGGCGAAGCCCGGCAGGAAGTTGCCAAGTACTTCAAGGCAGAGGACCGCGGCCGACAGACACTTACTCCGCGAGTCCCGTAGCACAGACACGTCCGGACCTCCCACGGCCACCGCCATGGCTCCACCCACCTCCCTGGAAGGCGGGTAACCGCGGCTTCCGAGACCCGAGCGCCGGCGCCCCGCCCCGCCAGAAACCAATCGGCACGCGATCTTTAGGTCACGCGACTCCCGCCCAATGCTTTCTCCACCCCCTTGGAGTCCACCTCACGTCCTCGGGAAAGGTAAAGGGCAGGATGGTGACGTCATGACGTGCTTCCGCCGCGGCGACTGCCGCTTTCTTGTTACTGTCACAAGCACGAGGGGTGAATTAATCCTTCTTAAACCAAGGCCGCGTTGTCCGTGGCTTGGAAAACTCTTGTGCGTCCGGGCGACCGTACCTGATTTCTCCTAACACTTATTGTGGGAGTCCTCCTGCCGAGAGCAAGACTACAATCCCAGAGTGCCATGCAGGTACCCTTTGTGTTCTCTGGGAACTGTAGTTCAGGGATTCGCCTGGTTCTGCTGCTGCTAGCGTAGGCCTGTAGAAAACTACCACTTCCAGTGTGCCCCGCGCTCCAAGTCCCTCCCTTCAGGGCATAACCCTGCCTTGGCACTAAGGCGGCTTCCCTGGAGCGTTGCCTAGTTACAGAGGGTTTTTTTTTCTTTTTTTGGTTCAGTCCTAAACGCCCGCCCTGCTTTTTAGAATGAGCTTCGGAAGTGCTAGTCAATTGAGGCATATAGAAGATGAGTAAACGCAGAAGTGTCTTCGAGAATCACAAAGTCGGTCCATACCCATCTCTAAATAAATTATGCAATAATGACATCCCATTCAGGCACAAGGAGGATGCTTCAATTCAAGTCCAGGGCTGGGAACTTAGAATCAGGCCCCTAGTAAATAACTTTTTATTTAAGGAGTACCGAAGTGATGATGGACCCCTAGTAACACCGGGATTGGAATCTACCTGCATCCCATTATCGATGGCCTGCACAATGCCTTCATTGGAGTGGGTGGTTGTGAGGCCAGTGGAGTAACTGATGCCACCATGCAAGGAGCTGGAATGAGAAACCAATCTGCAGCAACATCTTTGGAACAGCTCCTGTCAGGGTTGCTTTAATTGCTTCAGTATACAATAACACTTGGAATATTTATGGCGTGATAATGGGTGACTACTACCCAACACCAAAGAGTTCCAAAGAGAATTTCTTCCCCAAATAGTTATTTTGTTGTTGCATGACAAATTCTACTAGACAAACCAACTGAAAGGAGCGTTTCTGTATACAAAATAGAGCAGTAAAAGAGGATTGTATTTAAATTTCTGTTATATACAGTTTGCTTTGTTGTTGTTGTTGTTGATATTCCCCTGAAGACTGCATTGGAAAAGTTTTGGTAGATTATCTCATTGTTGTCACTTTCTTTGATGTAATTATCTTGTTTGTCTGCTTTGTTCTTTGATCCCCTATCCCTGGCCCCCCAACCCTGTCGTTAGGTTTAAATTATTTAGCTTCCAATTAAATTTTAATCCTTTTTAAAAGAATTCTTTGTTGATTATAATTTTTATTTCATTGTAGATAGTAAAGGATGTGCCTGATATTTCTGCTTCTCTACATTTGTTTATGAAGCTACTGTTAAGGGGTGCCCTGAATTTGTCTGTTTGATGTGCCATATTTTCCAGAGGCGCTGGACCTATAGCATACAGGAGGACCTAAGTATGTCAAGGAGGAAACCCTGTACCCCATAAGCTGCCATAATATGTTGTTTGCACCCAATCTAGATTCCCTGTGTGTCCTTGTGGGGCAAGACAGGTGCCAGCCAGTCTGTGTCAGGCTGGGAAAAAGCCTAGTGCAGGTGATGTCTGCTGAGGTTTAGGTTCAGGGTCAGAATTCACTTACACCTTCTTTGTAACCATTGGGAGCTTTATTTCATGAAAGCTTCATGGGCCTGAGGTTAGCAAGGAGCTAAACGAAGGGCCTGATATAGGAAAAGACCCAGGCTTACATAGACAGAAAGCTATACAGCCTGTAGGATGATGATGTATTTTTAGGGTTTCTTATGGGGGTTGAGATTAGGGACAGGATAAGAACAAACAAGATGAGGAAGATGGTTGCTTATAAGATAAGGAAAAATTGTTGTTGACACAGGATGAGGAAGATGAATGACAGGATAAGGAACACTGGGTAAGGGAAACAAAGGCAATTCTTTTGGTACAAGTTGTATAGTATTTTAAGATAAAAGAGAAGCTCTCAAGTTCTAGGATCTCAATGTACAGGATGAGCTACGGAATGAGCCTCAAACTGAGGCCTGTTTGCCTCAGTTCTCCATCTGTATAGCAAGCTGGGCAAGGAAATGAGAAACCATTGCAGTATCTTTGCCAAGTAAACCCCAAATGGGATCATGAAGAGTCAGATAGGCCTGAAACAATTGAGCAACAAGTGGCCTAATATGTGGTAAGTTTTTGTAAAGGTGCTGAGCTCAGTTGAGAAAGATGTAAATTTCTTTTTAATCCCATTATGTAATTGCTAGAGGTCTATCATACTTTATTCTTACAAAATTCTATCAGGTTCTAAACTTTTTAAAAAATTATCTTTTTGTTAGATTTTTTTTTCTTTTTGGTTTAGGTCTGAAAGTGGTTCATTATGATCTCCAACTATTATAATTTTACTATCTTTTTCTGTCGATAATTTATTAACTTTTTCTTATGTCTTTGGTGCACATAAATTAAGTGCTGGTATTGCCTACAGTGCCTTTAAACATAATGCAGTTTCCCTGCTTATTTCTTGCTTTTCTCTTCTTTATTGTAATTTCAGCATAGTTTTACATGATCCTGACTCAGATTCTTTTGTACTTGAAGTCTTTCTGGTTAAACTTTTTTTTTTTCCTTAACCTGGAAGTGTTGCATTTGGACTATCACATCCCTGGGAGTTCTCATTTTGGGATTTCTTTCAGAAGATCTTTGGTGGGTTCTTTCTATTTTCACTTTAGTCTCTGGTTCTAAAAGTTCTGTGCAGTTTTCATTCATTACATCTTGGTATCCAAGCCTTTTTTTTGGGGGGGGGGTAGTGGAGATCAGCTGAACAACAACGGGCTTGGAAGGACTAGACTTTTAGGAAATTTGATGATTCTTAAAGTATATCTGCTTGACCAGTTTTGAAATCAGCTCTTTTGATCTTATTTATATTTGCATACATTCTGTCCTATCTTTTCAGTTATTTATTTTTTCCAGTATTTCTTGATTTCTCATTGAGTCATTGATTTCAACTTGGTTCATTACAATTTCATGAAGACTGTTACTTGGTGGGTTGGAGAAGTGTCCTGCAAGGCCTCCTGCACACATTTTCCTTAAAAGATATTGAAACCATCTTTAAGGCTTAGTTTAGGGACAAAAGTCCTGGCCTTGGTGTAACTTCCTCATGGCCTAAGTACAAAAATCAACAGGATTTGGACCACAGTGCATCAAGGACAAAAAAGAGGCAAGAAAGCTTGAATCAGTGTTCTATACTAGCTAAATAATCATTCTTTGCTTTTAATATCCCCCTCTGCTATAACTAAGTAAACCTCCTTTTGTTAACTGTCAGAATTCTACAAGGCTTTCATTTTGTTCTACTCTTCATCCTGAGTGGCCAAACTGGCATCAGTGGCATATTACACCTGGGTTAGGTTTACCATCTGCTGTTCTAAGCCATGTATTCTCTTGCTGTATCTTTTAACCCCTGCTTCATTTCATCTAGTACTCTTGTAGATCTTATGGCTGAGCTTTTTTTTTCTCTGAATCTGTACTTGTAGTTGTGGAATTTGTTTCATCTTCTGAGTTAGACTTTTGGGTATTTCTGGGACAATAACAGTTCTGTATCAGGGTTAATGTTTTCTTCTGTTTACTCATCTCTCTCAATTTCTGAATTAGGGCATTGTGGCAGGGCCAGGTTCTGTATTCTGCATTCTTGGCTAGGGTGGTTGACCATGTTTAATCCTGATGTCCATTACCTGGTCTCCTGTCACTGATTTCTAATTCTGGTGTTTCTGCACTTATGATGTTCGTGGATTTTGGGTGCCCGAGATCATATTGGTTCAGAGTTCTGAATGTTCAGGGACTTTTGGTGTGTCTTAGGTCAAAGTGCTACGGACTTGAGCACTGCCATCCCACTCTGAATGCTGCCAACTTCTGACCTACATTCATGATCCAAGGTTTCTGACTTCCCTGAAGCTTCCTCATTCAAGCCTTCCACTCTTCTTCTTCCTCTCTCCAAGTAGACATTGCTGCTGGCTTCACATGTTCTTAGAACATCATACTTCCATTGGGAATTTTCAGCATACATTTTTGGGCTTTGATTTTTAGCACATTTTTCTCCTGGAGAATGACAATAAAGAGAACATATCTGATTTTTTCAACTTTTGTCCCTGAAGGCTTATCCATATTTATCCTAGTTTGCCTCATGGATTAAGATCCAGATCTGGATGTGCTGGTGTGAGTTATCTTTGGTCTGAAATAGACCTATAATCCTGGCCTCCCCCTGGGTTATAGTTACATTATTCCCCATGTGAATGACCTCAGAAATTCATGTTAGTTTATAGGCCAAAGTAGGTTTGAATCTATTATAGAACAAGGCCAGAGGTTTGATATGCACCCCAAAAACTGCTGAAGAGGACCCTGCTTTTGGCTTTATGTCACATTTGTTGTTGTTCTCTTATTTTCATTCCTTTTGGATTCTTTGTGATCCCATTTTGGGGTTTTTGTGACCCCATTTGGGGTTTTCTTGGCAAAGATACTGGAGTGGTTAGCCATTTCCTTCTGCAATTCATTTTATAGATGAAGAAACTGAGGCAAGCAGGGTTAAGTGATTTGCCCAGAATCACACAGCTAGAAGTATCTGAGGTCATATTTGAACCAGAAGGATGAGTCTTCCTGACTCTTAAGCCCAGCACTCTATCCACTGTACTACCTAGTTGCCCTTACATCACAATCTCCGTAATTCACCATAATGCACCCAGGCTGTTAAAGACTTGCCTTCCTAGTGTTGCCCAGGGATGGATTGAGTTTTTGCTTGTCATTCAGGGCCAGACATGAATGTTGCTTTCCCAGCATTATTTCTCTCTTTGTTCTTATAGGCTAGCAATGTTAAATACAGCCTACCATAACCAGTGTATAAGTTTATTCTCAACTATATTTTGTTATTATTTCCTACTTCATGCTTGAACCTTTATAGTTTTGTTCTTTTTCCCAATTCTCTTCATTGCTACAGTCATGTTTTTATACACTGGCTAAAGAAAGACAAGAAAAAAATCAAAGAAAGTTTCTATGTTTGGGAGTTAAGAAATTTTTAAAAGTTACTTCCTCTCTTTGAAGTCAGAGGCTATGCTCATAGATCCCCAACTGTGCTGCACTGCATTCCAACCCATCAAAATGAAGTCAGAGGGGTTCCATGGGATATTTTACACTTTCAGGGGAAGCACAGTGAAACTTGAACATATCAGATACTGCTCTATTAGCTTCAGGTAGTTCATAGTTTCAACATTAGATTGTGCTACATTCCTTTTGATAACATTCTCAAATGTTTGAGATAGGTTTTTTATTTATTTGTACTCTCAAGTATGCCAGTAACTTTTTGAACTTTCTTATTTTTGTGAAATTGGGTTTTTGGTGATTGCTGTAATTAAAAAAAAAAGCGAACTGGAAATGAGGGTAGTGATGTCAAATCTAATGCCAAGAAGTTGTGCAGTGTCCAATAAATACACACATCCCATCAGTAATTGTAGTTATCAGAAAATGAAATAAAATATTATTTTTTCTTTCAATTTATGGGTATTTTTTCAAACAGCTACTAAGATGTTAGCATATGAATGTTTACTAAGTTGTTTAGACCTTACTACTTAATAAATAGAGCTATTAGGTATTTCTTTTGGCCCATGGGTACTGTGAAAATATTACTGACACTAACAGGTAAGTTTGGGAGTTTCCATACTACATTTTACAGTGAAGTTTTTCAGGATTATACTCTGCAAAAGGGTAGAAAGTATTTCATGTGACCATCTTTCCAATTTGCCTTGTTAGTTTGATACTGTTTCTGTAATTAAAAATGAAAGAATGAATAGATCTGTGATTCTAAAAGAAAAATAGGGAAAACTATCAGGAATTAGCTAAGATAGATATTTGTTTTTGTTTAATTTTTGAGATAGATATATACATAACCTATACATAAACCTATACAGAGAGAAGAGAGATGGAGAGACAGAAAGTTTTGTTTTGTTTAATTTTTTGAGATTAGATTTCCCTATCTTGCCTAGGTTGGAAGTTCAGTGACCACTCATAGACCTGATCCCAACACTGCTTGGCTTACCAGCTTTAACCTGTTCTTTTTTTTTTCTGTCTGTCTCTGCTGGTTTGCAGCTTTGTGCTTAGGCAGCCTCCACTCCCTTCACTCCCAGGGGCTAACAATATTGGCACCAGACTGAATTCAATCACTAATAGTCTTAAGCCTCATTGCAGGTCAGAACTCCCAAATTCAAATGATCTACCACCTTCAGTCTGCCCCGGTAGTCAGAATTACAGATGTGCACCACCATGTCCTGCCAGCTGATATGAGTTTGAGAAATTCAAACACTAATCTTTATGACTATATCAATCACATCCTTTATAAATCTTTCTGTGTTTTATTTAATGGAATAAATTGCCTACATCAACATTTATTGAGTTACCTTTGTAGAAAGAAGCAATGTAGGGAGTTAAAAAGAAGTGGGAAAAACCCCCAAACTTGTCCCTCAAGGACAACTATCTTAGAACTATGATAAATCCTAGATGTAACCCCATTTGTCTGATGGAAGAAGTAATACCGCTACCTTTTTTATACTTGTTGACCAAGTTTGTCCTAGAATAAATCTATGTAGGAAAGGAACCAGCCTATAATTTAGGTCTTAGGAATCCTTATGTAAGGTCAATACCCCCTGGGGCATAGGCTAGGTCCTTAGAATAGAAAAATTTCACAAATCTTCATATGCGTACCTTCTTCTGGTTTTCACTACTTTTATCTCTGATTCAATGAGTTCACTATTTCATCAGTTTCTTCCCTTATATCACAGTTGGAATAGGTAGGCTTTAAGTGCTTGCCATAACTCAGGGAAGAAGTAGGGGAGCGAAAAAAGGTTGACAGGCCCAGAAGAAAACTAAGTACCAGGACAAAAACTGAGTGCTTAGAACTGAACATAGGCTTACCCTTGTGACATTTGGGGGAGAATGGAATCATAGAATCATAATCCTTAGAGGTGATCTAATCCAGGAGTTCTTAACTTGGAGTCTGTGAATTTTAAAAAACAATTTAGAACTGTATTTCAGTATAACTGATTTTCTTTATAATTATATTATTCTGTTTTATACATAGAAAAACCATTCTGAGAAGGAATCCATAGGCTTGCCAAAGGGGTCATGACATGGAAAAGATTAAGAAGATCAAATCTAGTTCAGTTGCCTTATTTTAGAACTGGGAAAACTGCTATACTATATGAGAATATGTAGCTTGAATAACTGATGCATGTATTTACTTAAATATATTTAAATATGATCTATCAGGCAGTAGTTCAAGAAACTCAATAATCATAAGCTGGACAGTAGATCAAAAATTCAGTGCTGAACATATTACAAATCAAATTCTGTACAAGAGAGAATCCAAATATTTCACAAGAGTTGCAGTTAGCAAAGGTTTAGTCCATTTTCCTTAACAATTGGATAGTAACCATCACTCCATTGCAAATTAATTTGTTCCTTGAAAAAAAAAAATTCTCCAAGTGGGCTTCTTCTCCAGTCCTTCACCCCCATGAGCATCCTCTGGCAGTGGACAATTACTCAGCATCACAGTGAATCCATTCCTGGCAGCTTATTTAGTGGAATAAATGAATGTGTACTAGTTTCACTCTTGCTAAGTGAAGTAGATGTTGACTCATTTTTACTAACACTTGGAAAGTGACAGCAATTTGGCAAAGCAGCACATTGTTTACAAAAACCCAGAAAGGTAGGAGTTTGGAGAGGGATAAAAATTGTATCAAGGATTTATTCTGCCATGGAGCGCATGGGGGCCTTTTTTGTCCCTCAGAAAGCGGCAGTGCCTTGTGCACATTGATTTTCCATTTATACACGTCCTGGTGTGAAAAGGGCATCTGTCCTCACAGCTGTTAATGAAAAAGAAAGTGAGAGCCATAACTCAGGACCAAAGTCTGCATTCAGAGGAATCAAATCCTGACTAGTTTAAGCTTCTTGCTGCATAATTAAAAAAATATCTTTGGCTTTTTCTAACTTCCATTTTTCATTATGTATTTGCCAAGTACTTGTCTAAAATATTAATATCTGAACCCTGAATAGTCAGAACTATATATTTCAGAAATAATACATCCTAACTAACAATCTGGTCTACTCATTTTTATCCTTTGTTGCTTCATAATATGAATCAATTGGTTCTCCTGTCCTTAAACAAGTTTGGAAGAACCAAGGCACTTGCATACCTGGAAACAAGCCAATGGTTCTTCAAGTTTTTAATCATCAATTATCTGTTTACACAAACCTAGTCTATGCTGCAGATTCAGAATTAAAAATACACTCAGTAAAGCTTTCTTGGTTTCTCAATTCAACGCAATAATACAGGAGTCTGAGAATTCATTCCTGTCAAAGGCTAAGATCCCGTTATGCAATAAGTGATGCTCCAGCAACCTATATAAATCTCTACATAATGATGTAGGAACTGAGAAAAATTTGACTCAATCAGTATGAGTCAATCAGAAGAGCTATTACTTTAAAAACTAATGATAGCACATTATATAATGCACTTTCTCTGCAACTATTATTCTTAAACAATTGCCCTGGGAGGTTAAATAATTTGCTCAGGGTTGCCAGGATATGTAGCTAATATATACAGGATTTGAACCCATGTCTTCTTGGTTCGAAAGCTAGTCTTCCATTGACCATGTAATAGCTACCTCTCAGTTACTGAGAGAAAAAATTGACTCAAGAAGTAGTACTCAGTCAAAAGAACAGTTACTTTTTTTTTGGTGAGGTAATTGGGGTTAAGTGACTTGCCCAGGGTCACACAGCTAGTAAGTGTCAAGTGGTTGATCTGAGACCGGTTTTGAACTCAGGTCCTCCTAACTCCAGGGGCAATGCTCTATGCACTGCACCACCTAGCTGCCCCTAAGAACAGTTACTTTTAAGACTACTTAGTAGAAACATGGCAGTCATGGAAAGTACTCACCTGCAGGTGTCTGGATGGAATATTTTTTGCTTCTGACAACAGCTCTCCATACTTTCTCGACATTTAAAGCAACTGCAGTTCTCTGGGTTCTGAATGAGATCATCAGGACAAGGCATTTTACAGACACATTCACACTGGTCCTCATCAAATTTCCTATGGGGCCCACAAATAGCCAGTTCCTGAAGATGGAAGTGCTCTGAACGGGAAGAGAAAAATGTGGATAGAGTATTTGCAGAATGAGTTCCTTGGGTTTTTGTTTTTGCTTTTCCTTATGAGCTCTTAAAAAACAAACACTACCACCTTAGATTAATGGAAAGGGTTCCAATCTTGAAATCGAAAGACCTGAATTCAAGTTCTGGCAGAGGTGCTTATTGCTTACTGGTACTTACTCTCCACTCCAATCCATCCTTCACTCAGCTTCCAAAGTGATTTTCCAAAAGTGAAGATGTGACCACGTCATCCCCCTACTCAATAACATATAAACTCCTCTCTTTGTCATTCAAAGCTCTTCATAATCTGGCTCCTTCCTACCTTTCTGGTTTTCTTACCCTTTACTCCCTTCTGAGCACTCTAGGAGCTCGCTACACTTGCCTATTTGCTGATCTTTGCATACATGATACACCATCTCCTACAACTTTGCTTTTGCACTGGTGGTCTCCCCATTCCTGCAATGCTCTTCCTCTTTCTTCAAGACCCAACTTAAGTCTTACTTTCTTCAGGAGAACTTTTCTAGTCTCTTACCCCTCCAGCTACTAGGGTCTTTCTAAGATTATCTTCCTTGTGTATATATCTTGTATATACCTAGCTATTTATGTTTTTTTCCTCATTACAATGTGAATTCCTTGAGGACAAAGACTGTTTTTACCTTTCTTTGTAGTTGTGGGCACATAAGTACTTAATAAAATGTTTGTCATCTGATTATTGGCCATATGAACAACGAAAAGATGAAAAAATTGGAAAAGACCTTAAAGATCTTATCCTCTTCAGAGTAGGTGAGCCACCACATTTACATTGGGACTCTACCATCATAGTTTTGGATGTAGGGGGGGGGGGAAGGGGGGGAGCAGGGACAGAGAGAGGAAATAGCCTTGAAAAAAAGAAATCCACTAAAGATTTAAAGTTCAGCTGGACTATATGCCTCCCCTCCATAGAAAGCAGAAACTGTTGCATTTTTTATTTTGTATCTCTAGCCTCAGGAACAGTACCTGGCACATGGTGTTGATTAGACCAACTATAGAGAAAGGAGGTCCCTGTTAAAGGTGACTCAATTATGAGGCTGTTGAGGAACCTTTTCTCCAGATGGGGAAAGAAGGGAAGATACCAAAGGCACAGGGGAAATCTCAGACATTATTGTTACCTTTAAAAAAAAAGTGACCAAGAGAATGTAAAAATTACTTAACCATTTTCTTGCTTTCCCATCTCTATAATATTAGAAGTCTACATACACACACACACACACACACACACACACACATTAATGGCATTCTTTATAAATATATGAGAGGAAAACAAGAAGGCTTTTGTGGAACACATTCTGTAGAAGGCCATACAGTCATTTTGACTGGAAGGTATAGAAAATACAAGATAGTGTTTAGATTTGGGTTTTGGCTTTTTTTTTTTTTGGTAGTAAATTATCCAGTCATTTTTAGGATCATATGTAAAACAATGAATATGAGAATAGATCTATCCAACAAGCATTTATAAAGCTTTAATTTTGTGCAAGTGACTGTACAGTAGGTACTAGAGATACAATGACAAACAAAAAACAGTTGTTATCCCCAAGGAGTTTACATATACTTACGTGCACAACATGTAGCAGATAAATATATACAGCAGGTAAATCTATACAAATGTCTGCTGATAGAGAAATATTTTTTGTTGTTGCTTAGTCATTTTTGAGAAGTTTCTGACTCTTGTGACCCCATTTGGGGTTTTCTTGGCAAGGATACTAGAGTGGTTTGGCATTTCCTTCTCCAGCTCATTTTACAGACAGAGGAAACTGAGGCAAACAGGGTTAAGTGACCTGCCCAGGGCCAAATAATAAGTCCCTGAGGTCAGATAGGAACTCAGAGAGATGAGTTTTCCTGACTCTGGGCCCAGCATTCTATCCACTGTGTCACCTAGTTGCCCCTGTAGATAAACACATACAAGATAATTTGAGGGGAAAGTGGTAAGCGCTGACAGATAAGGGGATCAGGGAAGGCTTTCTGTGGAAATGGCATGCAAGGTTAATCTTGCTATTCTAAGAGGCAAAGGTATACAATCCAGACACAGCACAGACTGTAAAGGAAAGGAGAGGGAAGAATACCAAGAGGACCTATTCATTTCAAGTCTTTTCAGTTCATTTTTCCTTTTACATTAGTATTATAAATATGAACATTTAGAATGTTGGAGGATACTCGTTCCATCAATTTGGTATTAATTCAACAGTAAATATTTATGATGCACCAGCTGTGTACAGAGCCTTATGCCAAATTTGGAAGAATTAGAAAGTCTATGTTAGGCATTAGCCCGTTTTCTAGGAGCTCATACTTTTTGGGGGACAAATGACCACATAGATAGTAGTGTTTTTATCATCACTGTTATCAAGGCACAAATAGCTTGACAGATAGTTTACTGATTATTTTGGGTTGCCAAGGAATGCATCTTTAAGTTGAACTTTTACTGTTCTTATGGAGGCCATTGATAAAATATAATGCTCAAGTTATGTGATCATTTTTTCTTTCTTCTATGGCACATCAAGTTTCTTTGGGAATTCAAATCCCAAACACACTGATTTGGTATTATTTAATCAACAAATATTTATGAAGTACCAACTGTGTATAGAGCACTATGCCAAACCTGAAAGACATGAATTTTATAGCCAAATGTTTTAGGCCAAAAACCCCTAGAATCTTGGTTTTTGAGCTATGAGGATGGCTCTTATTCCCAATTCCCAGTATAAATTGAATTTAACTTTGTACATAATTACTGGTATTTCCTGTTATTTTCTGTTTTTACAAGTTATTGGCAAGTTTTAGCATGGCGGAGATGAAAGAAACCAGGAAGCCAAGAGTGCTCTATATGCCTCTTGAGATGGGCATAGCTGTCTCAGTGAACTGTCGTCTATATGGTATTTGATTTTGAAACGTTCTTCATGGAAGAATACTTTCCAGTATCAGAGATTATTTTTATAGGGCCCTCTAAACTGTCTGTAAGTTGAAGAAACAAAGAGAAAGAAGTTTGTATGGTTACTGATGTCATCATTACCTTCCATCCCATTGAGAGGACTCTCTTCCTGTGTGACACACTTACATTTATTGCTATCCCATGTCAATTCACCCGGACAGACTTTCTTGGTGTTGGGACAACTGTGGGGAAAAAAAAAACCAGTGAATTAATTTTAGATGTTTACAGCAATAATCATTCAAGCAGATAGAAAACATTTTACACATTTAAATTTGTCTTTAACCAATATTTTCTCATTAGAAAAAAGGAATCTCTGTTGTACTGTAGGAACTATAGAAAATAAACTACTTGAGCATAGGAACTGGGGTGTGTGTGTGTGTGTGTGTGTGTGTGTGTGTGTGTGTATCTCCCTTTGTATTCCAACATCTACTATAGTTTCTGGAATTTCATGGGTGCTTTATAAATGCTTATAATTACATATGTTTAAAAAATATTTTATACTGGGTCTCCTTAATCACCTAACATGGAAGTACAGAGGCCATTTACACGCCCAATCCCACTGCTGATCAGTATAGAAACTTTGACCTTCTCCATTTTCAGCCAGGGCTGGTTTGCCCCTCCTTGGGCAGACTGGTGGCTACCCACTCCCAGTGGGCTTTAGCCCTACTCTAGCTCAGAACTCCTGCACTCAAACTATGTACCAGCCTCAGCCTGCTCAGTAGAAGGGATTATAGGCATGCACCACCATGTTCTATAAAGAACAATTTTGTATTTAGAAGTGATTCGCATAGAAATAGAGAATAGCCTACAGGAATCTTTTTTTTAATCATAAGACCAAAAATTGCTACAAGAAATCTCTATCAAGACTATTGTGATCTTTGATATTGCAAAAACAGTGTTTAAAAAGTAATTTTTTATTCTCCATAATGAATATGAAGAGAAGTAAACAAAAACAATGTACTCCTTTATATTTACCCTGTTTTAAACGGTGACACAAATACAATTAGATACTTTTAAGGAAAATATTGAACTTTTCATATTTTCTAAACTTTTCAAAATTCAAAATATGCAGAAATAAGTAGAATGAAGGTTTTGCTTTTGATTCTGGACTAAAAATGCTCTACTTGGATCCATCATGGTCTTCCACTTCAGTTGCTCTTCCATTTGAGTGTTTGCAATCTGTGATCACAGGCACATTTTGATTTGAGTTGTGTATAAAAATGCCAGGTCACATAGTCAGGGTCTTAAATATCATAAGATTCTTTTTAAACAATGGAACATATCTGGCAAATTTTATGTATTTGCATTACCATTGCTTTGGGAAAGGTGGTAAAAAAGAGAAATGTTTGATGTCACAAAAGGTGGTGTGTGGGCCCTGAACCACGCTCTGGGAGATTAATTTTCTTAAATCTTTTGGTTTGCATTCAGAATCCGTCATCATTACAGTTCTCGATAGAGTTCATATACAAGAAGTAAGGAAATGGTGACAATGACAAAAAAACACAAACATTAAGACTGAATTTGCTTCTCTGTGAAGTGTCCCTTTACCAAATGAAAGAAGTGATTTCTGTTTTTTTATATCCATATTTAAGTATTTGGTAAAAAAAAATTAAGTAAACCTCCTTTCATATACAACCCGTTCTGTTCCTTTCCATTCTATGTAGCAAAAATTCTAAGACCTTAAGACCCTAGGTTGCTGGGGATACAAATACATAAAAGAAAGTCCCTTCCTTAAAGGTGTTTGTATTTATTTAAAAAAATAATAATACTTTAGTTAAAACAATGCGAATACTTTCATTATTTTATACATTCATTTAATCATTTAACTTTTTAATCTATTTGTTCATCTACATCAAAGTTGCCTATATTACATTACAAATTATTACAAATATTACAAATCAGTGATTTCCAAAATAATTGTTGAAACTTTCCTATTCGTATTTCTTAAAATAGAATCTAAATTCTTTAATATTAATTCTTTAAAGAACTCAACATATTATAAATGTTATTCACTGTTATTTACAAAATAAATCATTGCTATGCTGAGGTTTTCAAAGGAGGAGATAGGGTCCTGGTTAAGATGTTGATGCAAAAGGTCCTAAAGGATCCCAGCAACAAAATACAAGGGGCAGAAGTGATATAGTTTAGGTTGTCTTTATTCCAGATATGTTGAGTCAGGTCAGTATTAGCAAAACTATAAACATAATAGACTATAATAATAAAAACAAAAATCCCATAATTATGTTAGTGAGGGAGAAAAAGTTTTTTAAACACAATACAATACCTATTTATTTTTTAAAATTCTCTAAAGTATAAGAATAAATGTACATTTCCTTAATATTTTTTAAAGTATCTATATGAAGCCAAGAGTAAGCATTATATGGACATGCCAGGATTCTTTCCAGTAAGATTAGAGGTAAAGCAATGCTATCCATTGTCAAAACTACCATATTTACTATGCTTCTAGAAATACTAGGTATAGCCATAAGGCAAGAAAAAGCAGTTGAAGGAATAAACATAAGCAAAGAAGAAATAAAATTATTATTTTTTAAAGTGACATTAAAGTTTATTTAGAAAACCCTAAAAATTCTACTAAAATTAATAGAAACAATTAATAATTTCAATAAGGTAGTAGTTTATAAAATAAACCCACAAAATCATTAGCCTTTCTATATATTACCATCAAAGATCTAAGAGACAGAAAAAGAAATTCCATTCAAAACTACAATAGAATATTTGAAATATCTAGGGGTCTACTTTCCAACACACATGGGAATTGTAGATATAACTACAAAATATTCTTTACAGAAATAAAGGAAGAGTTAAATAATTTGAGAGAAGTTAATTGTTCATTTTGCATATGCTAATATGCTAATGATGACAATATCACCTTAATTTAGGGAGTTAGTGCCATATCAATTAAACTATAAAAGTATTGCTTTATAAAACTAGACCCAATAATAAAAAAATTTATTTTGCAGAACAAAAGGTCAGGAATTTCAAAGGGAAATTATGAAAAAAAACAGGAAGGAAGAGGACCTAAGAGTGGCAGATTTCAAAATATATACTACAAAACAGTAATCATCAAAACAGTTTGGAAGTGTTTAAAAAATAGAAAGATTGATCAATAGAACAAATTAATCACAAAAGATCCAAAACCAATTATTCCTCAGTTTCCTCATCTGTAAAATCAGTAGGTTGGATTCAATGTCCTCTAAGGTCCTTTCCAGCTCTAAAAATCTATAATTATATAGTCCTATGACTATGGTAGCATGGTGCGCAACAAACCCAAGCATGGGGAGTACTGGAGAAAGGACTCACTATTCAACAGAAACTGATGGGAAAATTAGAAAACAGACAGGTAGAAATTAAACTACACTACATATCTCAGCATATTCCATAAAAAGATCCAAATGGATGCTTAGCCTACATATAAAAGGCCATATCATAAACAAATTAGAGGAGAATGGAAGAAGATACCTATAGCAATTACAGATAGAAACATTTTTGACCATACTAATAGAGATGATTACAGGAGATGAAATTGAGTTTTGATTACATAAAGTTGTAAGTTTTTGCAAAAACAAAATCAATGCAGTTATAATTAGAAGGAAAAACTTAACTGATGAAAAATTATTTACTCAAATTTCTCTGATAGTTATCTGATGATCAAGATTATATGGAATTGATACTATGCATAACTGTGCATACCTGGCCAAAATATATGAACAGGCAGTTCTCGGAGGAAGAATTTCAAGGTATTAACAATCATAAAAGAATGTTCCAAATCACTCAAATTAAAGCAAACTGTTGTTTCACCTCACATTCATCAGACTGCTTTTTTTAATTTAGTATTTTATTTTTCTCAATTACATGTAAAAACAATTTTAACATCATTTTTTCAAATTTTGAGTTCCAAATTCTGCCTCTCCCTTCCTCCTCCCCACTCTGCATTGAGAAGGCAAGCAATTTGACATAAGTTATACATATGTAGTCATACAAAACGTATTTCCATGTAAGTCATGCTGTGAAAGAAAACAGACAAAAAAACAAACAAACAAGAAAATAAAGAAAGTAAAGAAAAAGTATCTTCGATCTGCATTCAGGCTCCATAAGTTATTTCTCTGGAGAAGGACAGCACCTTGTCTTGAATCATTGTACTTTTGAAAATAGCTAAGTTATTCACAGTAAATCATCATACGATATTGCTGTTACTGTGTACAATATTCTTCCAATCATCATATTGTAGAAGATGGACATGGAAAAAGCCTATTTGTTGGATGAAGTGTGGGAAAACAAGCACACAAACACATTTTTGGTGGAGCTGTGAATTGTTCTAACCATTCTGAAAAGCAATATGAAATAATGTCTAAAAAGTCACTAAACCAGCCTATTAATAATACTATTAGTAGCATATAGTCAAAAGAAATCAAAGACAAAGGGATGCATATGTACAAAAATATTTATAATAGCACTTTTTATTTTAGCAAAAACCTAGAAACAAAGTGAGTACTCATCTATTGGAAATGGTTGAACAAATTATGATATATGAACATATCGGGCTATTATTATTACATTGTAAGAAATAACAAAAGAGATGGAATTAAGAAACCTTTGAATACTAGTGTGAATTGATGCAGATTGAAGTAAGCACTACTGAAGGAGAGCTATTTATGAAATGATCACAACCATGTAAAGAAAAAGAAACACTTAAGATTTAAAAGACTTAAAGACTTAGATCAATGCGATGACCAATCACAACTCCAGAAGACTGATGAAGAAGCTTGCCTTCTACCTCTTGGGGGAGAGCTGATAGATTGTGGATGAAGAGTGAGACATACGTTTTCAGACATGATCAATACAACATGATTTGTTTTGCTTTACTATACTTGCTGCAAGCGAAGGCTTTTATTTGAGGAAGGGAAGAGAGAGGAGAGGAAGTGACGCAAAAAAATAAAAGAAGAAAAGAAAGAAAAGTATCAATGAATATTTTTAAAATATCCAGAAGAGAACCAAAGGAAGCTCAGAAAGGAACACAGGCAAGCAGGACAATATTGCTACTACCATGTTAAAAATATATATACATATATATTAAGCTAGCTCTAAGTATATTCACAATTTCATTTCCAAAATTCCCTTTTTCTCTGCTTATTAATCATGTACATATTTTTATGACTTAGTT